TTAAACTGGAGCGTATACGTTTGCTGATTCTGCAGCGTATGATTCAGGCGCCTCTCAGGACGTAGCGAAACGAGAAATTCGATAAGCAGAAGTCGGCGCATTTTTAATTTACATCAGCTCTACCTCTGGGCCATCAAACGGTATCAGCATAGCATCCTTTTCATCAACTTTTCATCCTGCTTTTAGTTGCGTAAATACATTCGTTTGACAGATGACTTTACTAATTGCCTTTTCAAACTGCAGTAATCTCCCGGTGCAGCAGGCGAAAATTAAAAATGCAGAACCTCGAGTATTGTTTTTTCATGTCTGAGCCTGCATTTATCCACCTGAAATTAATTCTCTAATTTGTTTGTAAGATAAACAGGGAATACTCGGGATCCCAATCCACTTAAAGCATCTCCTCCACTACTTTACATATCCGCTCTGAAAATGCTCATTTGTCCCCGAAGACTCCACCCAGCAATCCTGCTAGTCATTAACGGTGAAATGAAGAGCAAGCCTCGACTTTTCTGAAGGGCGCTGTAAAGTCTTTTTGGAAGTGTCACCTCAGTAATCGTGTTGATGTAGTGCGTGTTCGTCTGGGCGGACTAAATGAAAGCAACGCAAGAAGGGCGACTTTCGAGTTAGAGGCTTCGCACCTGATCTGTTGTGTGGCTTGTGCGACGGCCACACGGCACCTGCTGATCTGTATGGAGGCAGGTGATGACATGCTTGTCCAAACACAAAAATATCAAGAAGCTGAAAGCACTCAGGCGTGTCGCTGTGGCGCCGCTGTGTGCATTCTCCAAACGCTGCGTCACAAAGTGCCCCTCCAAGCAACTTTCTGGAACCTTTTCATAAAAGTCCTTCCACATGTGTTCCCTGCAAGGTTGCACAGCTGTGACCACCTTCTTATTGACTGCTATGTCCTTTTCTCTGATGACGGTTTCACCTTTTAAAGCCAACCCTGCCAAATTCTTGCAAATTTTGAGTTATTTGATGACACCAAGAATCCGTATTTTTAAATTATCCAGAGCTTTGGTTTTAGTGCGAAATATCTGTTTTAGCTTTGTGTTATAGAGCTTACAAAGGAACCTGTGGTATGTTAAAAAGTAAACATTAAAATCGTATCAGCACCATTATAAGAGCAGCTGTTTCTAAGCAGGGCTGCAAGAAGGTCGCTGGTTCGCGTCCCGGTGGGGACACCGGAATCTTTCTGCGTGGAGTTTGCATGTTCTCCCCGTGCAGCGTGGGTTCTCTCTGGGTTCTCCAGCTTCCTCCCACACAGTCCAAAAACACGTTGAGGTTAATTGGTGATTCTAAATTGTCCATAGGTGTGAATGTGAGTGTTCTTGGTTGTCTGTCTCTAAGTGTGGCCCTGTGATAGACTGGCGACCTGTCCAGGGTGTCCCCTGCCTTCACCCTGAGTCAGCTGGGATAGACTCCAGCCCCCCCGCGACCCTAGTGAGGACTAAGCGTTGTATAGATGATGGATGGATGTTTCTGAGCACCTTGCTCTCCGGGGTCATGTTTACTATCTGGCTCTATACACTGTAGAAATGAACAGCTGAATACACTGGACCATAAGGTATAGGCTTCATCCTTCATCGGCATTAGGACAAATGTCCAACAAGCCAACAAAAATCCCTTTATGAGGTGTGTCAGAAAAGTTTCAGGACTGGTGTCACAAAAGATATATTTCAAATCCAAACTACAAGTTTTCCCCTTTGAAGTAATCCTCCTGGAGTCTAACACACTCTCCCAGCCTCCTTGATGACCCCCTTGAGCTTGGAGAAGAGGAAACAATCCCACAGAGCCAGGTGGGGTGAGTAGGGAGGTTGCTCCAGCACGGCGATGTTCTTCTCAGTCAGGAACTGTCGGATGCTCAGGGCATTGTGAGCAGGCGTGTTGTCATGGTGAAGCAGCCACGACTTGTCCTGCCACAACCTCTTCTCGTGCACTCAAAGAAGCAAACGCTGCAGGATCTCTTTGTAGACGTGCTGGTTGATCGTCTGAAGGGGCGTAGTTTGTAGTTTGGGTTTGAAATATATCCTTTGTAACACCAGTCCTGGAACTTCTCTGACACACCTCGTATAGTAGAAAAAGCAGTTCCTCTGCTACATTTACCGAACAGAACAGCTTCATAGTTGCAGTTACTGCAGTCACCACAGCAAACTGGTGTTTCAGTGTCCACTTGCTAGTTTTTCCGAGAACCTTTAACCATATCTTGAAGTCTGCTTTAAAGTATGAATTCATGGTCAATTTTAGAGATGCAAATTTAAAACAGTTGTTTAAAGTATACATCATGTGTCACTACAGGTATCATCATAGGACAGTATTGCAAAGTTCTTTCCACTTCATTACCTAAAGAGCACACTGGTATCAGCATTAACGCTGAACGTTGGCTTGGAATGGACATCCCAATGCCGTACACTCCGACAAGGTCTATTCCTGGGTGTACTGGGCTGAATGTTCCCTGGAGTTGTTGCAGGTGATGTCATACAGCACTCTACTGCTGCAGGGAGGCTGTTTTAGGCAATTTTGTGACCGACTGTTGCCCTGCAGCTCTATTCATTTGAACAGAGTGTAGATGCCAACGCAGGGGAGCTTTGGCTGCGGCATGACAGTGCAAAAACTAATTCCTAATAACTTCACAAAATTATCAAATCATGTCTGTTAGCATTATGCATCACTGCACAGTGTTTCGCCTTCTCAAATCCCACTTAGCCACGTATCAGCAAAATTCTCAAGGTTTTGTTCAGCGGTTTGTTGTAAGTATCGACTGCCGGTGCCGTGCACACCTAAACTGACAGTCCACCTGACAGATATTAATGAGTGTGACCACAGCTCGTGGCTTTGCCCTGTAGGAGCAGGGAAACAATAATTCATGTGTTTTATTAAATATTTTACATGTTATTGGAAGAGGAAAATTGAACACCGTGCTACCTCTACTGCTGTCCAGTCACAGCTAAGTGCGTGTTCAGTGTCTGGAAGTTGTGTGAGGGGCACTGGAGGAGAGAAACAGCGTTGGATGGAAAAGTAAATTACAACATAGAAATCCAATAAATATGATATTTGGTTGAAAGGTCAGAACATACCTACTAATATTCCTGAAGGCAAAAATAAGAGATGGACCCCTCATGATGCTTTTGTGCAGCACGTATACGTCATATCCACTCAAATATTAAAGCTTTCAGAGCCACCTCAAAACCAGACACTTAGCTTCAGTGGTTAAAGTTTCTGAACATCTGCAACATTTGAATTCACCTCAGTGATTCCTTCAAAGCATAACCTCGAGCATTTGGACCCCTGAGGACCTGGAGCCCATGGGGCATTTGCCTGCTCTGTTGGGTTGATATTTACACCTGGCCAAGAAAAAAAAAAAAAAATAGCAATTACACATTGAAAAATAACACGTTTTATATCAGTAAGAACTGTGGAAACTGTGCGTCATCCCACCTGTCCAAAGAGACCGGAGGTTAGACACAGAAGGCACCACATGCATGTCTTGTGTCTGATTGGTAGGACTGGACCCGGACGTCCAATCTGAATATTCGGCTGTTGTGGTGGTATCCAGATATCAATTTTAAGATCTGAATATTCGATTCTTGGATCCCGCCCCTCCCCTGCCTCTGCCGCCGATGGTGGAAGAAGAGCTGTGACCGCTATTCAGGTATAGATTAATAATGGCTATTCGGACCAGCCCTACTGATTAGTCTCGCATAACCACACTTGTTTCTACAGCGCTGTGTTCGCACTGGAGAATGGTCTGACTGCACTTTATTATCATTCAGCTATGGAGGGAAAAACTTTTTTGTATTACTTTAAGCCAATCACAATAATCTTGGGTGGTGCTAAGCCCAGGATGTAGTGATGATGCCCCTGCAAAATAGGGTGTTTTGGTGCAACATTTGCATGCTGGAACGCAACACTGTCAATAAAATGGCTAATTCACCAAAAAAAGCAAGCAGGCCTGCACGACTGCATGATCCAAATGTTGTTAAAATGCACCATTTTTAGTATGTAGGCTGTAGCTCGAACGTTGTTGTTGTTTCCTGAAGTAAAGTGGATTTGAAAATGGTAACATGCATATAGCGGAAGACGAAGGGAATACTGTGACTGAAGTGGCAGGTCTAAGTCCACAGTTTACATTACCTGTTACTTAGTGCAAATGCTGAATGATCTGTGAATGGTGACAGACCTCTGAACTGTATGGGTCAGGAGACAGGAAGACAGTAAAACTCTTGCTGCTTACATGGTTCAGTAGCCACAAGGCTAAACTACAACTTTTAGAAGTAAACTGCAAAAGTCCACTCTTAAATCTTCAACCTGGGGTTTTTGGCTGTAGCTGAACAGCCTCAGATGTTTTATCACCATCTTCCGGACCGAAGCAGAGCTGACACTGATTTGCTCAGAAGACAGATGCAATCAAATTTAGGTCTGGCTAACACAGATACATACATTTGTGTAGCTCAGTTGGTGCAGAAGCAAATGAAATTCAGTCTGAATCTTATCCAGATATGAAACACTTGAAATGAAAGCTTAAAATGAGGCCAGATAACATTTGAACAAAAGCGGTGCCCTCATCAGTAAATGTAATTTATGGCAAAAGAAATTCTTTGGAGGAACAAAGGCAGTACCCCTCTGATTTCTCCATTTAATTAATGTTCATGGTTTAATAATAATAATTATGAGTGTCTCAGACATGCAGAGAATACCTTTCATGTGAATGTACAGAGCAGACATGAAGACAATCACACCGCTTTGATTGATGTTAACTTGGTAAATACCACTTTGGGGGACAGTACGCTGCCTTCATAATCACAATATGTGGACAGAGATGTCTGTCAATGACAGCAAGCTATGAATTAGCAGAAAGTTCTTTATGCGATAAAAAATGTGTTTTGGCATGTTGACATGAAATTAAAGCAAAATGTTTCTGTGTCCTACTCAGGCCAGCGGGAGGTGACTGTCAGAAGAAATGCCGGTCCCAGGTGCCCTAGTACATCACCACCGGGACCATGGCGACTCCTTGGCCAATGAGAAGAGAGAGGTGCTCCTATGGCTCCGCCTGCCTTGCTAGATGGTCGGCATCCTCCTTGATGCTCCTATGGTTGCCGTGGGTGTTGCTGTGGCTGCCGTGGCCCGCCCGAGCTGAACAAGTGGGCGGCGGGGGACATGGCGGGAAAGTGCTCCACAGTTCCCTGTCGTCCCCCTCGTCCTCGTCGACGTCCTCTTCCTCCTCGTCTTCTTCCTCGTCCCCCTCCAGCACCTCGGCGTTCGGTTTCAACACGAGGCAGAGCGGAGGGCAGCTGGACTGGCTGCTGTCGGAGAAGGGACCTTTCCACAGATGTCCGGAGTACACCGAGTTCAGGGAGAGGTTCCAGCAGGGATTTTCTACCAGATACAAGATTTACAGGTGAGTGGGTTGTGTGCACCTCTGTGTGTGGGCGTGTCTCAGAGGGAGAAAGGCAGACGAAAAGAGACTAAACGTAGGATTTAAAAAGATCAGCAGGTGGAGGTCCTCTAACTTAAGTCCTATTGTGTCTCAGAGTATCCCTTTTTTTGTAAAATCACCCAGTGCCATACGTTTGACCAAAAATATATGTCTGTCCTCTTGAATGCTGCCACTGGTTATGTAGTATAGCAGTGTAAGTTACTACCATGTTAGGTCCTGACTCCGACTTTCACATTCTTAGTATGACCCTGTTTAGAAATCCTGGTGTGATTTTTGATAACAGAGTAAAGTTTTAATCATTAGATAACATCCGTTTGTCAGTGTTGTTCCTCACATCTTCACAATATTATAATTAATAATATAATTCAGAAGTCAGATCTTGTGTCTTTTTTTTTTTTAAATCTTCAAAGAACTTGGAAACTGTCATCAGCGCTTTCATTTCATCTCTTTTAGATGAGTGCATTCTTGTCTTAGGCAGCACAGCCTGTCCAAATGGGAAACAGAAACACAGCTGAGTAGAA